TTTATCCTGTTAAATGATAAAAATAAATAGCTCTTAGGAAAATATTGGTGGTTCAATGACTGTAATTTGTAGTAAATGGAGCAACATTAGAACTCTGCATAAAAATCACTAAAAGAAATTTCTTTAGGAGTCAATGTCAGAACTAAAGAGAATCTCTTTTTTTTGTGTTCAAAGTTGAAGTTGGTGTAAATTATTGAAACTCCGAAAAGTCTTTTCGTTCTTTTCTTACGTAGTTTTTGTTTTTGACCATTTTAACGTCTAGTACACGAGAACTGTCAATGCGATAGCCAAGTAACATGAAACAGAAAAAGAAAAACAAAGAACAAATCTATACTAGATTGAGTTTCACAAGTGATTGTTGCGAAAAAAAAGAGCAACATCGTTCAATATCTCTACGTTCCTCATTAAATATATTGTCATTATCTTCAAACGACCTTAAATTATCTAAGTAACTTGTCGCAAAATTATGAGAAAAAATTTGCAGAGTTTGTTGACGTCGGAGTTAAAAGAATATCAGTCTGCAAGTCTCTAAAGAACATAAAAATTTAAATTAATTATCTACAAACTCTTTGAATCATAATTAGGAATATTACGTCAATGTTATTTCACAATTTTGGATGTGAGTCAAAAGAAGATCTCATTAGCACTTGCAGTCATACCCTTCAGATGGAAAACTACAATATAATAGGAAGCTTGGAAATGTGAGTGGTGATAATATCGGATTGGGATATTATTAAGCGGTCAGTAAAATAAATGAAATGGTCAGGAAAATATATGAAATGATCAGTAAGATAAATGGTCAGTAAAAAATGTATAAATAATCAGTAAAAAGATTAAATGGACAGTACTTAGATTATCACTCGTATAAAAAAAAGATAGGAAAAAATCTGATTTTAATCGATTTTTTTGTGATTAAAAATCGATTAAAATGGGACAGTTTTAACCAGGTTTTTAATCAAACTAGTGATTAAAATAAATTAAATTTATAAATATGCATTTTAACCGATTAAAATTTTTTCATTGACTATTTTACTCAATTTCAGTCAGATTATTCGATTTTTAATCTATTAAAATCAATTAAAATTTTTAAATCGATTTTAATCAATTCTAATAGTTTTTCTTTTTAAATGAATAAGTACCAATTGATATCGAGTCTTGAAGCATGGAATTTATGTCAAAGGTCGATCTAGCATCATATCTACTAATTTTCCGAGACAAGGAGTCCGAAAAAGCGATCGAACATCTGAGTTTTCAACATAAAGTTTGAGAAAACGCATTTTACCGTCGCCGCCATTAAAATTAATATTTATAAATTTAATTTATTTTAATCACTGGTTTGATTTAAAAAATCGATTAAAATAAGATTTTTTCCAATCTTTTTTTATATGAGTGGTAATCTAAGTACTGACCATTTAATCTTTTTACTGATCATTTATACAATTTTTACTGATCATTTATACACTTTTTACTGACCATTTATTTTACTGACCATTTCATCTATTTTACTGATCATTTAATTTATTTTACTGACCGCTTAAATAGTAGCCTATCGGATTCTATTACTTCTGAGCAATATCGAATTCGTTCGTGCTTCACTACACTTTAATAGTAATATGTAGCTAAAAACTACTGAATTGAATTAAATAGATAAAGTTGCAATCAGGAAAAACAAGAGCAGAAAAAGCCTTGTTAGGTTTAGGATGCATAAATTTTCCGATTTTCAAAGATATTCAAAGATGAAAAATTTCTTACCAAACTTTATTCTTATGGTAAATATTTTTTCTATATTCATTAAATGTTGGTGCATTTTAATCTTATCAAATGCATTCATAGTAAATTATAACACTTGAAAAAGACGATACGAAGCATTTGTGACATACTATGTCCATGCAAAAGAATACTCCTCTTACAATTGGTTTCAAATTTTGTGAGAATGACATTGTATGAAGGACCTATTCCTATAGAAAAATAGTTTTTACATAAAATCAAGGTTGGTAGTATATTGTAAAGATGCGACGAATATTCAATAGCTTATTTTTTCATGTTTTCATTTTTCTATGCGTGTATATACTAGCTCAATATTGAACAGTAATAGATATTAATCATTGATGACGAACATCAAACATCTTGTCAAATAATTTTGAACATACTGTTATATTGTCCTTACAAAATTTATACTATTTATTAGCAGTCTTGATTCCTGCGAGATAAGGAATCTGACTAATTTGTGGATTAAACTTTTCCTTGTTATTAGAAGATGAAACAGATCAAAAGTAGAAAGTTATTTTAATACATTTTGCTTTCAATTTTGAAGATCTATTCAATTTTCATAATGCGCTTGTCTTTAGTATGAATTAGAAAATTTGAAACTCCGTAGTTCTCATCATATCATGGTATTTTTTGTCAATTAAAATACTTTTTGAACGATTACATAATTAGAAGTTTTTCTCATCATAATCCACAAAGAAAACACTAAATCATTTATGCACAGCTGAAACTATAGGTTCTCGTGGTTTAAATTTATGACATGGAGTTTGTAATGGAACTCCTTATATATATATTAATATATCCACCAATTGTTTTAACATCGAATTGTTGTAATCTAAATAATATCAAACACATTTGTAATAATTGCAATGTTGTTAAGAAACTTATCAATAGATTACAAGTTTATTCAAACAATTGTCAGTAAGTTTAATTGAATTATTAAAGATATAGACACCTATTCAGAAAATTAAATTATTTTTTCGAGCTTGATTTCAGGTTGTCCTCAGGGTTCAGTGATATTTTTTCCATATTGATGTTATATGTGCACTACTAATACCTAAAAATACAATTTGTCATATGATTAAAGTCAATAGTAAACTTTGGTTTGCCAAATATCTGCTCATTTTGGTCTGTCATAATGCTAAACGAATGGACAGTATTAGACCATTGGCTGAATATGAAAATTAGATTAGTTTGAATACAACATGTTGCAATGCGTCTTTAGATTTGAAGAGCAACTAGTACTTTTATAAAAACAAATAAATATAAACCATAAAGAATCACACTATCTGTATTTATTACCATTGGGCCGTATTAAGAATCATCCAAAACTTCAGAGTCTTTCAAAAGAAATATACCATAAAACCATAAGCAGATGTTTCTAATTGTTATTGTTTGTAGCTGCAAATGAATTGCAATCGTTGAGAAAATGACAAATGAGATACATATGAAGCAACTATGATTCATCAAACCAATATAAGTGAACTATGCAAAAAATAATGATAAATACATAATTCATAACAGATATTTTTTGGAACACATTATCCTCATAAAAAATATATTGAACTATGAAATCCTTTTTTTCGATAAATAAATTGATTGATTTCCAATGTTAAGTTAACATGCTAGATACTTTGTATGGAACAGCAGCAAGCATTTGATTTCTAGTTGTGATTTCATCATCTCTTGGTATAAAAAAAAACCTTCTAAGTAGGTTAAAAATCATCAGAAGACTTTTCTTATTGATTTATTGTTTTCATTACGTCTATAATGTTCAATTTATTAAGTATTAGTACTATTCTATTTCAGATAGAGTTCCAAAACAATGAAAATCTTATTCGAAAGCTATTGTAAATGTTTCCAGAATATGAATTTGAGCTTTAACTGCTTGTGAATCTTCTCTACATTTCCATTCATCCATTCTACGTGGCACATGAACTGTGATAGAAGAATTAAATGATCTAATTTAGTATTAATTCAATCAAAATAACTTTTAATTAGTTTATTATTTTGTGAAAGTGCATAGTCATGCAACAATAGCATCAATGGTTGATCACTACGGTAGTTTCGCACATCTGGATGTACCCCAAGCATCTCAACTTATCTAAAGAAATTGCGTCTTTTCGTAGAACAAATACTTCTTAAATTAAAAAAAAACTCAGTAATGATAGTCCTCTATTGTTTGATACAGATGCATTCAATACAATGCCTTCATCATAAGTGACAACAAGAAATATTTGATATGGGAAACTATGTAGGTCATTGAGTGTTCATACATATTGCTGTAATCTGATATATTCATCTAATTCTTCACCTTGAAATATTTTCGAATTTCAATACTTGGTACATCTTGATTACAATTTTGAACAATCGTTGCTGTGGACGATATTGAACGACGGATCTGAATTTCCAAAGATATGAATGAAGCTGTTCATTTAGACATTGTATTGTGTTTTATTGACAAAGAAAACGAATCAATGAAATTTAATATTTGTATCTGGCAGCAATTAGAGAATGTGTGTTTATAAATTCGTTATACAAATATAAGGAAAATTTACATCAGAAATTCTTAGAAAAAGAAACTAACTAACATATGTTACATAATCAGTTAGTCAATTCTTTTTCTGATTCATCAATTGATTTTTGTAAGGTCGCTTATTGCGTAGAAAATTTTTTTCCAAAATCGTTTATTAACACTGACATAGAATGAAGTGTTAAAAGTTCTCTGACTTATTGAAATTAATGTTGATTCTAAAATCCTATACAATAATTATCTAATATATTATTCGATATGTCACCTATCAAATATGGATTTGTGATCAAAATGTTTGTCTATTGGAAAGATATTCAATAAATATCATCTTTTACTAGATAGATTGTTTCAGCAACATTCAAAATGATTATTTTTTTAATACAAAGAAATACTTCTATGAATAAAATATCTATATCTTAGAGTACACAGCATTCAAATAAAACAGAACGAAAGCAAAACCATTATACTTTAACAACATACACATTTACAAAAAAAACTTCATTAAAGTAACTGAGTACGATTATAATAGTAAAAAATTGCGTCTATCAAAGAAGCTTTATTTCACCTCTCGGCTTATTATATTTCTTGCTATTCTTATCACTTTTTTCATTTTTTTTTTATAAATATCGATCTATTCGTCTTCTTACATTTCATACATTTTACACAACTAATCGTATACGTATTTGTTTATCTACTAAAAATGCAAATACAACAAAGTATCTTTTTCTTAGTGTTGCTATTAACAAAAACTGAAAGTTTCACTCAGTTTCATCAAAGTCGTACAAAACGAGCAACAACAAATGACTGTTGTATTTCAGCTAAACTTAATGTTGCTGCAAAAAAAGCAAATAGTGGTCGAGATTTTTTTCGACAATTAGCAACCGAAGCTAATTCATATACACTTGTTAAGCCAGAAAATATGTGTAGTTTAATACATTTTCTTGTTCAACAAGCATCACTTAATAATAAATCAGTTTCATTCGGGAAAGGTAAATTCAATAGAAAATATTTCATTATATTTTTAACTTTTAATTTAGGTATGTTTATTATTTTTGATTCAACAAATCAAATATTTGATCGATTAATGAAAGCAAAACAGGAGCAAAAAGCTGGTGATGGATCACAGCATGCAGGTTATTTTAAACGTTTTAAACATATGGGTGAACAAGCTATTCATTCATTATTTAAAAGCTCAAAAAAATCAAAGAATAAATCTGGTCTAATTGAATCCGATACATTTATTTATGTACGTGGTGATGAAAGTTCACATTATCATGGAGAACGAGGTTCGAAATGGGACCGTTCACGTGATTATCCTGCTTATGGAATGGATATTCCTGGTGCTTGTATGTATAAAAAGTCAAACAAAAAAAAAAAAGAATTGTCAATTAATTGTCTTCTTTAGGTATGCCTAGTGGTTTCGGTCATATACTTTTTGGTGAACTTCCACCAATTCGTAGTCAAGGTAAATATGCTGGTGAACGTATTTATATAAAACCAGAATTTTTTGGTATCCGTCAATTAAAACATTTTATTAAACATACACAATCTTATCTTAGTCATATATCAAGAAAATATGTATGTCAATTAAAAGATATGCAAACAAAACCTGGTTGTTCAAAAGAAGATGCATTTCGTGAAAATACAGATAAAAAGTTATTAGATAAATGGAAAAAAGTTTTAATGACAATTCCAACTGTATGGAATGTTGATGAACAATATATGAAAAATGCAACTAAATATGGAATTGGAGAAATTGATCGACAAGCTAAAGAACTAGAAGCAATGGGATATAAAGATAAAATAAAAGAGTTTCGTGAAACAATGATTAAACAATATGGAGAAGATGATTTAGGTGTACGAAAAGGTCGAGAAATTATATTTACAACACAAGGATTATTAGATAGTCCACTTACATGTGAATTATTTGGTAAAATCAAAAAATGTTGATTGAATTAAGATTTTTTTTTATATAAATAAACCAGAATTAATTTTGATAGATAGATATAAAATTGAAAAGAAGTTCGATGGACAATATATGAAATAGAATGAAACGTTAGACAATTTTTCTTGTCCAATTAATCGAATATCTAGACTTGTATTCCACAAGTCTATTCATTAAGAATTACAACTAGATATCAACGAGATGATTTTGGTTGACTGGGATTTCGATCATGACCAACAATTTTTCATTAGGACTGATATCTTATATGGTCCTGTAATACTGGCATCAAATGTCATAGAGTTTCGACTCATGTGTTCGAACATGTTATACAACAGTGATTGAGTAACTCTCACTTCAATATTTGTTGTTACAATTTTGATAGTAAAATTAATTCGTTTTTTTTCGTAAACAACACAGTTTTCGAAACACATCAACGTGTAGAATAGACAAAGTATAAATGTAATAACAAAAAGAAAAAAGTAATGAATCACAAGGGAGAACGATATTAGCGGCCATACAAGATGTCTCAAGCTTAATAGTACTACTAGAAAATAATAGCGCAGTATTCACTAGTGTATGTATTACTAAGCGCGAAACTAGATACAAAAGTTTTTTTCTAACCGGAATAGGGACCAAAAATGCTTGCTTCTGCTTATCAATCATTGAGATACGTGACGATTAGTCAATGATAAAATTTGCATGATGCAGATCGACAGAAAAGGGACAATGAAAAAATTGAGAATACTTGCTAGAAAAAGATTGATATCAATAATAGTCAAAATTATTAGATTTCTCCATGTATGATCATTTGAAGAATCATGTACATATGAATTCATTCTTTTCTTTTTAATTTCATTATTATTGATTGTAACTAATGCCTTCATGTGAATTTTTGGAAGTTACTCTTACTTTAAATCGGAACGAAGATATTCAACTGTTGAATAGTCTTAAAGTTTTCATGGATTTAGAGTTTTCATCATCGTTTTATAGTCAATTATATCTTCGATTTCGTTTTTCAAGGTTAATAATTCAATGGAACTAGTTTCAAAATCGCCTATCGTTAAATTTTTGAATCATCAATCTTTCATCACGATATTAATAAAGATATTGGTATATTTTTTCACAAGGTTTATCTTCAAAGAAAAAATGAATAATTATAAAAGAATTATTAGAAAAACTATGATCGATAGTATACAAAGCTGGAAATAATTAAGTACATATTTAGCACTTTGTCGTTTATGGATGTAAAAATAGAAGCAAAATTCAATTGTTATTTAATGTTTGAATCAGAGATGCACGGGGCATCGATTTTTCAAGCCCCGCGGGGCCCGCCCCGTGAAATTCACAAACCCGTCCCGCCCGAACCCCGTGTATAAGTTTTATGAAAATCCCCGCCCCGCCTGTGCCCCGAAAAATCCATACCCGCTCCGCCCGTACCCCGCACAGGCAGCTTCTTGGACCGGCCCGCCCGACTCGTCATTTTTGCGACGGGCCCCGCCCCGCCCCCGTGTAACCCGAAGAAATTTTTTATTTACTAAATACTTTTTAATCATACATTCCTTTTATAAACAGATATCTCATCACCATTCTAGCTAAGAGGCTGTTGGATATTTTTTTAAAAACTTTCATCCTCAACAACGCTGGTAGGACAGATACTTTGAAATATCAATACCCTTTCCCTTCGCAAACTTATATACTTGACTCAGGCTAAATTCGATTGTCGCAAAATTAACCATACATAGATGAGATCCTTCATGCTTAAACTTGCACAAAGTATTAAATAAAAATGTTTCGAAGTTGAGAAGAAAATAAAATTTTACTATTGGAACTTTAGACACATTCGAATTACTTCATTTCCGGTGCTGTTCATATAATCTTAAATTGAGCTATAAAATTTTATAACGAAGTCAGGCTAAACTTGCATGAATTACTGGAGAAATCGCTGCTCCATTGTACTGTATACTAATGGAAAAGATAGATATAGCTAAAGGATTAAAATTAACTGGACCAAGGCAAATAATTGAAAACGTATCCGAAACATTTGTTAAACACTCATGAAATTTGCAGTCAATTTGAAAATTAAAATGATAAAAGATACTCTATCAAACTATTTCAAAACAAAATATATTTATTTGTCCAATATGTTATAATTACTCGAAGAAAACATGTTGAAATTTGGCAAAAAATTTTTTGCCTGCTTCACGAAACTTACTCATTTTTTGACCGACACGTAAGACAGATCAAAGAAAAACTACCATTGGATGAAGTAATCAATGCTCTATCTGATCATATAATAATAAAAAAGTTCCTGATGTTTTGTAGAAATACAATAACCTGAAGAAAATTGGTGAAAATTAGTGAATTATCTTGTATAGCTTCCCTGTATTTTGAAAAGTTTTCGTTTCGCGAATTACTTCGTTTCTTTAACGTTTCGATTTGCTGGCTTCTTTTCTTCAGTTCAGTTTTGAATTTTCAATAGAACTTCATTAATTATTGAGTGACTTCAACAATGAAAGATAATAAATGTTATAGTTTTGTGCCTATTACTTCGGAATCGCGAGTTCCTATTCGAATGAATTGTACTCTTTCGAGTCAATCACTTTAATTCTGTTTCAAGAAGCTATCGTCTTCAGCGTTATGTTCTACTAAAACAATAAAGAATGTTTATTCATTCTACAATGATTTCATCGTTAAGAAATCTGAATTTTGATAAGAAAAAGAAGTTTTTACTGCGCAGTGTTTCTTAATAAATATAAAATAAGTTTTAGTCCAGTTATTCACTTAGTATAAATTAGTAGTGGAAACTGTGCATGACGGAGGAGAAAGAAAGAAAGACACAAATAACAGACAAGCTTGCACCTAATAGAATCAAATCAATAAACCAATTGATATGTACTTTGTACTATGCATATCTGTAGTAATAACATCTCTTCATAAACTTTGACGGTTCTTTATCACACCCGAAAAAAAATGTTTACCCGCCCGAACCCGTGTATTTCATACCCGCCCCGCCCGAGACCCGTATCATTTTAAAAATTTGCTCCCCGCCCCGCCCGCCCGTGGGCTGGCAAATACCCGCGCCCCGTTAACCCCGTATTTAATTAAAATTTGCTTCCCCGCCCGCCCGTCGCCACGTGGCCCCGCGGGGCCCGCGGGGTGAACCCCGTGGACCGTGCATCTCTGGTTTGAATGAGGTTCCTGCTTTCATCCTCATCCATTCAGAGCCAGACACGCATCCTACTAAATAGAGATTCGTGTAAAAGTGTCAATTGCTAATAGAATTTTTTCTATAATTTACGAATATCGAAATTCTTGAACTTAATTTGCACTATTAATATATTATATTTTCAACTATTGTAATTAGCCACTAAAGAACAATATAATATCATCATACAAAACAAAAACTCACATATCTATAAGCATATGAGTCAGAGATATACTTTATTGTACTTTTTAACTGAAAATTTTATGCTAATAAGTATTCTCATTTTCGGGACTTTTTACTACTTATTTTAGTAACAATTGTGAACGAAACTTTGTTTTTCGAAATTAGTCAATACTAGTCATTCTTCATTATTCGTTACATCCATAATTACTACAGATACAATTTATGTGTCAATACGTCACTAATTGTTAGATTTTTATCATCACTATCAAGAAGATTGCTTCAATTCTTCAGCGTAGTTTATCTATCAATGTTACGATAAATAAAAATAAAATTACTGAATGCGTAAAATTGAATGTAGATAGGATATAAATAGACATTAAACAGTAAAACTCGCTCAAAAACACCATCCAGAAGATGATCATGGTCCTTTGGCGTAATTGCAAGGTTGAGATATCAACCAAGTTCTTGAATTTGATGATATTTTAGTTGATGGACGTCCTTAAATAGTGAATTCATCTCAAAATTCGGATTTATTTTGAACATTACGAAGTGATGGTGCTTGAACTTTAATGGCAGTGTAGAAGTCAAAGACATTAATGATAAATAAAAAAAAGAGAAGAGAAGATTTAATAGCATCAGGAAACAAAGAAAGAATGATCGAATAATTATAACAAACGACTACCAGAAAAAAAGAAACGCAACTTTTAGATGATATTAAAAAATTGTTTAGATCCATGAAGTGTTTGTAAAATAGCAAAAAGCAAAATAAAAAAGAGTCTAGCAAATGGGATTTATGGTAGGGTCTCCGAGGTTGAAGCATAGGCGGACACGTTTATACGTCTCTACTCGGGTCAGTTGATTAGCATAACCTGGTCCATTGTTACACTCGAGAGCGCCGTTGATGATGCGCGTTGTAGCAGCAAAATCACCTATTTGAGCTGGTGCAGCCATACCATTTGCATTGTAGAACCAGAGAGCCGTGCTTACCGCTAGTTGAGGATCATTTTCCACTTTGTCTGGATCTGCGAGAAGATCAACACCAAGAGACAGACCCGCACTATAGTAGTTACATGGCCATGAGAGCTGAAACCAACCTCGACCATAATACAATTTTCCTGGTGCAGCCGAGATGCTGCACCAAGAGCCACTGTATTGCGAACCACAACCTAGTGTTTGAGATAAAGGTGAATTTTTTTCTTTGAACTATTTTAATATTCAAATATAATCAATTTTCACTCTTTCGACTAAAACGGATTTAAGATATTCTTTATATTTCTTCGAGGAAAAGTTTTCAGTTTGTATGCTCAAATCAAAATGGACGAAATAGATGTGAATGTCAACTTTATCGTTTTAGAGTAGAAATGTTACAATTTAAAAAAAAACTAATATGTTTATTTCCATTTCGCATCTTCATTTTTTCTAGTGTAAATGAATTTCCGTGAATCAATGTCCCCATTTTCAGATTAACTAATCTCGTGGTGCACTTTCAAGAATCACTTTATTTGATGTTCAAAACGTTCCCGGTATACAGCATGTCTTAGATGCCTTTACATATTCTATAGTTCAGAAAACATACCTGGAGCACAATATTCTCGCATTGTGCTGAGTCCACCTGTCTCATGAAATACATGTGCAAGAAAGACAGCAGCTTCATCATTGTTTACAGGCGTCCAGCCTGTCGCCTTTAGTCCATCGAATCGGGTAGCACGTAATGTAGAATTGATCGTGTTGAAAACACAGGCAAATGTACTGTCGTTAATAATGGCAATTGAACCATTTCCACTAGTGCTACTACTTACAGTCGTGGCAGTTCTGATGGTAGTCGTGGTAATTCCTGTGCATGGACCAGCTTGGCAACCAGTACCACAATAAGCTGATCCCGTCCCACAGTAGCCCCATTGGGACAAACATAGACTTGGATCAGAACAGCTGAGGCCACCTCCACTGGTGGCACTAGTTGTAACTAAGTTAGTTCTAGTTGTAATTGGAGTCGCGGTAGTTCTGATGGTAGTTGTGGTGGTAGTTGTGGTAGCTTTAGCTGTGGTAGCTTTAGTTGTGGTAGCTTTAGTTGTAGCTGCGATAGTTCTAGCTGTAGTCACGGTGGTTCCCGTGCATGGACCCGCTTGGCAACCAGTACCACAATAAGCTGATCCCGTCCCACAGTATCCCCATTGGGACAGACATAGGCTTGAATCAGAACAGCCGAGACCAGCTCCACTGGTGGTACTACTTACAATCGTGGTAGTTCCGGTGCATGGACCTGCTTGGCAACCAGTACCACAATAGGCTGATCCCGTTCCACAGTAGCCCCATTGAGACAAACATAGGCTTGGATCAGAACAGGTCGCACGAGTAAGCCTTCGAAGAATCAAGCTTTCCAGCTGGGACCTTTTATCATTATTGTTGCCTTGAACATTGACAGGTATATAAACAAAAAGAAAAGAATAGACCAGTATAGAGCAAAGCATGTGTATATTTGCTTTTGCAAAAATCTCTTCTTTACTATCTAAAATAACAGAAAATAAGTGAAGATGACTATTCTAGTAATTAGATACAGAGAGAGCAAGATCACTTAAGCAATGAATTGATAAGAGTTGCTTCCGTAGTATAAGGTTCAATATACAGGTTGATTATATTATTTTTGATAGTTTTGTTCACTTTGCACTATTTATAAAAAAACTTCGGATGTCTCATATTTTCAATCAGTTGGATAGAACATGAAATTATCGGCCTATATAATTTTTATTTTATGTACTTTTGCATTTTGTCGAAAAAATTTTTATAAATTTCAAGAAACTTTGAATTGAAACTTTTGCTCACTCATATTTCAGTTCATGTAAGTCCATTAATGATGAATTTTGCTTTCGATGGAGGAAATTCGTCATATTTGGATCCATAGGAACTATTAAACAGCACTGATTCGACATGAAAAAGAAAATTGCATTTCAATGTTAAACTTTGGTACACTTTTGTTTGTATACGCAAGCAAATTTATATTATATTTTGCGAAAATTCACTTCTAAAACTTAACATAAACCTTATAGAGAGAGAAACCAACGTTCTATTCAGTTACATATGAACGAAAAATATGTTTAAATGTACAAACAACCAACATTTCTTTGAAGAAAAGTCAAAGAATGATGAGTCGAAAAACTTCATGAAAACATTTTTTAGAAAATCATCAAAATTTGTAGTGAAGTTAAAAACTAAGCCCAATGTAAAATATATGATGAGACAGAGAAAAGAACGGTCTATAATTTTATGTAACAATCAAAGGTTTCAGTAGCTCAATAGATTGTAAAATAATGGCACCTATTTAAGTGCTAAGTAATTTTACTTAAAAACTAAAAAGTTGCATTTTTTCTAAGTAATTTATTAAACATAAATTTGAGTAAAAAAATGAATTTTTGCTAAGTATTTTATTTAAATTCTCAGTGGAAAAGTGTAATTTTCTCGACAAAATATTAAGAATTGCCAGGTAAATATATAGTTTTTGTTAAGTAAAAATACAGAAATGTATAAATAAAAATTTTAATTGAATAGTTATTTGATTAATAAAGCATTCGTTGCTTTTCGTGGTCGTCCTCATTTTCTTTTTTCACCTAAAGGTACATCCTTTACTGCTGGAGGTCGTTTGAAAAATTTCAATATAATTGCCATACCAATCACATGTTTGCAAATACATTCCTTAAAAAGTTTGAACAATTGCAAAATCCACTTTTCCATTCTGATTCAATGTCTGACAAAGTTACTTTCTATATTTCAAATTCAAGATCTTTAAATTGATTGAATGGCGTCTATTTTTTTCTTTTGCATCTTGGGATTTCATTTTTTTGTGACATTTTCTGCCTCATCAGCTAGTGTATAGTAGAGAGTAAAACCTGTTGTTTTAGATGATAATTGTCATACTAATTTTGAGGATTTTGCAAAATGAATTGCATCACTAATGTATATATACAAAAGAATAAGAAGAGAAGAACACACTAGAAAATGACATATGCAGAGGGAAGAACTCCAGAAAACAACAGAGATCATATATAATTGCTAGAGAAGGAAAGAGACAAAAAAAATATACTTGAACATGCTTGAAGATAGTGTAAGTGTATTCACGCATGATATCATAACGAAAGAAAATAAAGATGAAATCTACTTATATTGTAGTGTCACATCAGTACTAACAGCAGGAAAGAGCAAAAATGTACAAGACAAATTATCAACTGACAATCGTTATCTTATCTTGTTTTAATCACATTTACTTATTAACAATTTTTTTATTTATCTAATATGTTTTTCTTAATTATAAGACCCAATTTATTAACTTAATAATTAAATATTTTAATTGTATATTAATTATCAAACTTGGCAAAAATGTTAATTATAGAGAAATATTAATTTAATCTATCATCCAATAAATTTATTGAGCATCTAACTTATTTACTGAGCATATACAAATTTTACTTAGCAATTTTCAACTTAGCATTCATATATTTTTACTTAACACTTAAATAGATGCCTAAAAAAATGACCTGAGAAATGATCTGAATATTATTGGAAAATAAACTTTTGAGAAACTTTTCAAAATGTTTGAAAATTTTGGACAAGATTTAAAGTAAATTATATGAAAATTATATTGTTAGAGAGAATCATTGGTGTTCTATGTAACAGTATCAATACGAAAATCTTCTGATTTTTTATATAATTGCAGTACACTGAACAAAACTAACAAAAATAAAGTAAACAACCTTTTATTGATAAATGAAAATATGCAAAAAAAACGATAGATTGAAGATTAACAAGGGTTTAAAGCGTATCGAGTCAGAAGTGGCTGATACTACGTATTTTTTGTTCACATCAATGAAATAAAAAAATAGAAATGAAAAGAAACATGAAAAGAGTATCTGTTTTTACTTTACTGTTTGTTGTTGTCATTATCGATAAATCAATGTTGAAATGCGATGATTTTCATACGACAATCAAAAGTCATGTAAGTACATGCGTTGTTCGATAAGTATGACTCAGTGTCTTACTCGATCCTGATCACGATAAGCTTTCTCTCATTGCACAAGCAGCTTTCACCGATTTGTCATGATCGTCATAGAACGTATTACATGCGAAAATAAGCGAAAAACAAGTTTGAGAAAAATAAATCATGCATAAACAACACATCACTCGTACCTTGTTATTGTTGGCTACATTTAGCTCGATTCATTCGATTGTAATTGCATAATATGATCAAGGTTCATGTATTTAATAAGAATCATAGTCAAAAACTACCTAGAATTTTATTATGCTCTCTATGATTACAAGTCAGTTTATTGGATTGCAATTCATCTTGTAATCGGTCTTTGCAGAATTTCACTCTCATATTTCGGTCATTCATTAGGAATTTTCTGTTCATATATATTTTCTCTTGAGTTCAAGAAATTCTTCCACATGATTTTTAACAATATTTCTTTCAAATTCAATTAAAGTATCGTACAAGACTTTTCTGATAGAACACTCTTCAAAATTTTGATATAGATCTAGTATTTCAAAGAGAGAAACATGATACTTGTTGTACTTTAAAGTACGTTGAAACACGGTTAAGTACGTGAAGTATAAATCAGCATGTTTTCCCCGTGCATATCCCACATATAAACGACAATAAAATAAAACGAATCGTTAGTCATGTGATTACGTATATGTAAGAACAAGATTGGATGTGTTGGCGAAGAATAATTAACCATTTCTCTTGTAACAAATGCATCTAGCTGCTAGATTCTAGGCGGTTTTTACATGAACTGAGTTCTCAAAATTTTATATATCCAGCAGAATACAAATGTAGTATCATTCGAATTATACCTAAAAACTACGTCTATTTTCGTCTATAGAACATAACACATTTGCTCTATCAAAACTACATATTTCCGGTATTTGTTGGCTAAGGCTAAAGAAAGAGAACATGTGATATAGAAGAAATTTCTTTTGATGATAAAGTGAATTGATTCATGAATATATGTCTGAATTATTTGTATTAAGTGTTTACGAGAAAAAAGAATAAGTTCCAGTACATAAGGCTTAAATACAAATAACAGTTCTCAAGCACTTCTACTTTAGTAAACATTAAAATTTCATCATTTCCAGAGTGTATTCTAGCCTACTTGATTATATTGAACATAAATTAATCTATTGTTTTTCTCTAGGATATAGAAGGAGAAGAAGGCTTATTGATAAATCATTTTCATCGAATATATTTTGTAATATAAATACGAACTCTCAAATTCAGTTTGTTTCAATACTTTTGCTATTATTAGAAGGTATATTTAAATACAAATAAAGTTCAATATGTTCAGAACTGAAACTGTTTCCGAAACCCAATGTCTACTATTCAGAATTCAACTAAACACGAGTAATGAACAAACAAGATACTTGAACTAGAAGAGAATCTAAATTTATTCAAAGAATAAACATATCTTCAAATGTACTGGTAGCAGATAGTCCAGATTTTGAGATGTATTAGAACTTGTTCAACTAAATTTTCTAAGCAGTTTTGAGTGCCTTTTCTAGAACTCATAAAAAAATTTTCATCTAAATGCGTTTCTTCTTAATTTTCTATGTGCATGAACTATGTTCCAGAAAGATACTCATCCTTAAAAAATTTAATGTAGAACATGTTTTTTCTTAGTTTGTCTTAAAAGTATATATTTAAGAAATCTACAAACGATATTTGCTAGTTTAGGTTGATAAACACTATTCATTCATAATAATATCTATAGTAAAACTGATAAAATAATGGATAAAATTTTGATTAGATATGACTGTTAAACTTTTGAGGCATGTTTGAGATTATCATATTTCGCACTACCACAACATAACTAAGTTAAAACATCATCTATTCTCTCTGATATTTCAAGTTCAATGTTAAAGTTAACCTTTTTATAACACCATTTTATTGTGGCACATTTCTTTTCCAAATCATTTTTAAGACAGAACTATTCAGATGTGATAGTGAAAACGTTCAATTCTATGTCCAGATATTGATTCTAATACACTGAACAAGTTTGGAAATGTCTAGAGTGAGCTTGTGTTGCACTCTATACCTTGATTGAAAAAGATTTTCTTACATATCCTGTCCTGTAAAAGACCTCCCCAAGCAGACACAATTTTAAAAAATACATTTCTTAGCATTAAAATGTATGATTTTACGTTTTAAAAAATCTGTTTTGAAACAATAAACGAGTCTGACGACGATAACCCTCACAAACTTGCTTTTGCCAAAAATGAAAATCGTGTTGTCAGTGTAAAAGGAGCACATTTTTACGCGTTAAAACATGTTAAAATCAGCTTTGGTGTGACTATGGATAGCCTTACCTCATTGCATGATGTTTTTATCTCACTCTCCTTTTCTTCAACGTATATCTATTTATTTATATTTTTGTTGAATTGAGATCACTCTTTTATATAACTAGGCCATATTAACTTGAAAATCCTAGTTACTTTTATGGATGCTTCACAGTTATTAGTATTCATGTTCGTGTATAATTAATAGTTATTGCACCGTGATAATGTCCTTCAGTTGTGATTGTAGATCAAATGTAGGTAAGTAGTCAAATAGCGAAGAAGTTTCGTTTTATGAAACAAAGCATGCATATTCCAGTCTTATATTTGGGAAAAAAACTACTCTATATGTTTATGCATGATTGCTACATTAGGCTTTCCCAAGTCGATGATTTCAGACTCTGAAAAAAAACAAATTTTGCTGAAACCGGTCGGAAAGAAGCAGACAAATATCGAATATCAATGAAACATAAAATCAGTATTTCGAACCGGAAAGTTTCCGCTGTTTTCTGCCGGAAAGAACAGAAAGTTGGTCAGAAGTTATCAGAAAAATCCGAAGACTTCTCGATCCAAAATACTGTTTCTAAGTTTGATCGATTTTCGATGGTTTTCTGCTGGAAGCGATCGATACTTATTGATCTGGATTGGTTTTGAGTTCTTTTAGAATTTTCTTGTATGGACATGTGAGAGTTAATTTTAAAAAGTTTGCTTGTTCCAGTATGCGTCAATAAAATGCATCTACATTTAGCATTTTGCTCACAGTTACACGTGTTTTTTAAGCTATTACATTTGACAACTATTACTATTACATTTTTTCTTCTGATAATTTAAGAACAATCATATTATTAAATATTTAGGTTAGCTAATAATATTTCGTTTCTTGATAATGATGAAGCCAATAAAAATAGCTCGTAATTGATTGATTCATCGGTGAATAGGATTGATAGTAGTATGATATTCATGTTTCTTTGATGCAAATGTTATTTATAATACTGGAGCATTTCCGATTGCTATTGCAAACAAAATGTGAAGAGAAACATTTTTTTTTTATTATTTACTTTGTAACGAAACGAACACATTAATTTATAAAGATCATCACATAAGTTTTGCAAAGACAAACGTGTGTCTCTTTATTGTTAGTATTTTATTTTGAAAATAATATAAAGAGAAAAAAAAACAACTAATAAAATTCACCATTTTGTTTATTGAATTTTCTTGAACTATTGAAATGTGTTCGATAGTTGCTTAATATAAATAAAAAATTATCAATATGGTTTCCATATTTTTATCTAGAATTAAAACTTTTGCTAGAAAAAAATACGAACACTTTGAACTGAGATAGAGTTATTTTAATTCTCATATTGAAAATTTTTATTACAAAACATTGATTATTATTTTTCTTTTTCAATTATCCTTAATATACACGAAAAATTCAATAGTTAAACAGACATCTTATTCATTGCTTTTTTTTTGATAGAGTACAGAACAATTAATAAATTAGGAACATCAGACAAGGTAGCATAAGATTATTAATTAAATCAATCATATATTCAAATCTGTATATTAAAATCATCATTTGTTCCATTGATAAGATTCGAACACTTCAGTTTTTAGTTTTTATCCATTCGAACAAATATTTTTTCACATGAACAAACGGAAAAGAAAAATCGATTATACATAATTATTTGATTGGTACTCTTATGTCTATAGACTTTCTATGCACTGTTAAGTGATATAAGCCATAGCATTACGAATTGAAGGTCAAAGCTTAGTATATCAGTTGCTATCAAAAGAAATATAATCCATGAAAATGGTTTTTCTTCACCATTGATTACTTTGATTTCTATTCGATATGTTTTAAAAGCTATGTCATTTACATACTTGAAATTCCGTAAGTTCAGTCATCGATACTGAATCAGTGTCTAACTGTTTTCAACTAATGTGGGTGGTATAGTAACTGATTCATATCTGACAAAGAGAAGAAGAAGAGAAAAAAAAGAAAGAACGCAATTGTTTTGTTTGTGTTTGCTGCGTAGGTTTCTTTCTTCTTGGCTGATGCCTTCCTATAAGTAAGTCGATTATTACACATACAACTACAGTCAACCATAGGAATATTGTTTCTGTAAGAAAAAAAACATGATGTAGTTTTTCTTTAGATCGTTTTTCTTTTGTTATGTATTTTTGATTTCTATATTATATTACATATTATAATGGATGATAATAAACAAGATAACTCAACAAATTCATTAACGAATAAATCGCTAGCAACATCTTCTAATGAAATAAACTCATCTATGCCGCCTATTGATATCAATGAACAACAGGTAGATCTCAATCATGACTGTAAAGAGAATGAAACTCAAAATCAGATTGAAGAAGCTAATAATGATGAATTTATTCGTATAACAGCAGCACATCAAGTACTTGTTGAAGGTAATTATAAAATAAACTTTTATTTTTCTTTTAAAAATATTCTTAATTTAGCTCAAACATATGATGAACAAAAAAATTATCCATTAGCACTTCATCTTTATCGTATATGTGTTGATTTTCTTCTTGAAGAATTAATGTTTGCCGAAGGTACTGAACAATCTCGCATTTATTTACGTGAAAAATGTACAGCTATTATGAATCGTATTGATATACTTAAAACAAAACTTGATCCAATTCCATCATCCACCGAAACTCAACAATCAATTAAGGATCTTCCAATTGATCAATTAGAAACTCTTAATTTATCTTAAAATTCTTCTTTTTTTTTAATAATTCTTTAGGTAAATGTTCATTTTAATTAATATTCGTGATATATAGTTAAAAATATTTTTACTTTTTTTTTTGCATATTTATTTCAATCTTTCTCGTTTGGTGCATATGTGAATACATTTAATAAAACATTAGCACAACAAAATGAGAAAGAAATAAAATACAAATCAATGATAATTCTATGTATTTATATGATGGTTAACATGTAGAGATTCTTTCGAGAATAATAAAGATAAATAATAAGAAAAACTCAATGGGTGGATTACCATATATGTATATGTTTATATCCAATATTCTAACCGTTTTGCGTGTTTTGTTTTGAAAGACAGGCGTAGAAGACAAAAAAACAGAAAAGTGAATCACAACGTTTTTGTCTACCATTGACAATCAATCATCACTGTCACACACACATACATATTGAAATAGAAAGGATCATAAAGAAAGAAAAGAAAAATTAATGAAAGAAAAAGAAAAACGAAAGAGATATCAAGGTAGACAAGAAGTGATAAAAAAATGACACAATATTCTCACAGTTAGGCTTTAAATGTTCTTTTCTTTTGTGTGTTTTCTTATTGAGCCTTTAATTTGAGATATAACAATAAAGATATAGATTTAGTAGTACCAACAAACAGAGCACATTATTATCAAATTTTCACAAAGCTGCCTGAACAGATTGACGCTAAAAGGAAAAATATTAAGAAATTTTAAGAAAGATATTTATTTGAGTAAAAAAAAAAACAAGAATACTTACCCAAATGTTAAGAATATCGGTTATCGTATGTTGTACATTTAATTTAAAAAGATGAGAAACAAATATCGATGAGATTTGGTCAAAAAACGGATGTCCATCTAAAATATCAATTATATTATGCATAAAATCCATCGAATTCTTTTCTACTAATTATGTAAAAAGATAAGGTTAAACACTATTTTTGGTTGATTTTTGATAATGTCAACCATTATCACGTGAAATAAATTCCTAGAAGAGTTTACCAAAATACATATATTATTTACTATGCAATGATCATATCAATTATTGTCTGTCATAAATGATCATTTTATGTCAAAGTTAAAATTTCTAGAAGATAAAAATATGATAATACTACAAAACTGTCTATGTTTTAAATGAAAAACGACTCTTTATCATCATTATCTTCGCCCTATTGATGTTTACATTCAGTGATGCAAAAGAAAACATACATAACTCTAATCAATTACCAGAAATTACCTATAACAAATACTATCAGTCACATGTAATAATCTCGTAAAAGTTATTTATGACAGACATAAATGTCAACCGTTCGTTTATGTGAAGATAAGATGCGGTTAAATTCTCTGATGTAGACTTCGATATATAATAATGGATTTATTTGTTATTGAAATTTTTTAGAAAATTTTTCTTTTACCTGCATATTCTAATTTTGGTGGCATTGTTTTTGTTAATGATAAAATTTCAGGTGGTTGTTCTGGATAAGATGTTGTTATATGTAAACGAAGTGATGGTATAAGAGGATTTGATTTTTCAAGTAATTTACATTGAAGTATAATACCATTTTTACTTAAATATTCATTATCATTATCATTATCAATACGTTTTCTTGTACATGATACTGATATATATTCAATTGAATAAATATCATCTGGTAATTGATTTATTTCATCATTAAGATTAGATAATAATGATGATTGATTAGATGAACGAATTTTTATTGTTGAAGGATTATCAACATCAAGACGTATCATTCTATTTAAATAATAGAATTTATTTTAGAATAAGACGAAAAAAATAATAAAATCATTTATACTTATGTGGAACACCATTAATAACATCACTTAATGGTTCAAGATATCGTTTCAATATATTTACTCGATCTTTTTGTTCACGTGAAAGAAATTCTTTAGTTGCTTTTATACATTGATTAAATACATTTGGTTGAGAATGTGTTGTAGTAGTAGTAGTAGTCGTAGTCGTAGAATTTGTTACAGTTGAAGATGTTGATAAACTATTTGCTTGTTGTAATCGATTCTAAAATTTTCTTTTCTATGATTATTTTAAATAGAAAAACGAATAGTTACAGGTATTTGTTCAAGTACATCACGAAACCGTCTAGCATTTGGTAAAGATTCATATGTTGGATTACTAATGAATTGCAATATTTGTTGATGAGCTGATTGAACTTGACGAATTTTTTCCGTATTACCTTTGAAAGAAAATTAATATATTTATATGGATTTGTTAAATTTATTTTACCTTCATTAGTAAACTTTTGAGATAAAAGTTGTAATCGATTGACATTTTCATTAAGATATTTTATTAAATTTGCTGTTTCATCATCCGGACTTGAAATACTACCACTACCTATATAATCAATATTGAATTATGTTTTATTCAAAGTAAAATTTATGATAGAGACATATTAATTTTACATATACGATAGTTTTCGAAGAATAAGAAATCAATGAAACTTATACGATTTTCAATTTAGTTTTTATATAATGTATGTAAAGAGAGGTGAGACTGTTGATTTTTTTTTTCGTGATCAAAGCAATTAATAGAAGTAAAACGAACGCGACATGATAAATCGTACAAATATCACCAATATATTACCTCTGACACAAATCGGTTTCCTCAGGGATTCTGAAGACTTTTTTGTTTTCAATATAGTAGGATGGATTAGACTATCGATAATGCACTGGAATTAATTCTTATGCTAGGAAGGAAGCTACTCGAATACCCGTCGTTTGAACTTCTATTATATCTATATGTAAACACTGAACAGATTAACAAAAATCCAAAGAAATTCATCACCATCGGTCTGTGAAAGCGAATTATGATCGTTGTACTGAATTTTCGACTCAACTGTAGGTGTATGCTGAAATGTGAAAAAAAACAGAATTTCGACATAAAATTTTCCCATAGATAGATTTGATGGTCGATAGAATATCTTGTAAGTATCAGTCGTAAATCATATCCTTTTATGGAGATAGTGAGTTTTCAAGTGAATTCGATTTTTGTATCATGGTTGTGACAAATGACAACTATCTATATGCAAAATTTTCGACTGAAGCTCAGTCAAACTATCCTAATTCGTCTCCAAAAGGCCCATGGAAACGAATTGTTTTAGTCTTTTTCTATTCTTATTGACACTGTCTTGCAGGTTCAACATAAGCTCAAACGATGGCATCACTTCAGCTAGTTTCCTCATAAGGATAAACTCAGTTTTCTTCAACATTATGAAACACAATTTATCATTAATATTGTAGTATCATATTGATGTATATTGAGAAAATGGTCTGTCATAGTAGCGTTTTTAATAGATGCCTTGCAATTCTTTACTTATTTTTACCCTTTTCTTTACTCTTCCGAAATCTTCCGAAAGAAAATCCTTACCTATCGAATATTGTTCAGCCTGATACTACGATTATTTTAGTGTCAGGATAAGAAAAGCGTAAAGCCATTCGGATCTATGATCTAATTGGTAAAGAGTCATCGTTAATTTACTGAACTTTCTTAGTGAGAGCGAAGTATTTCTAAAAATATCAAAATGCAAAATTTCATTCTAAAAATTTGCCTAGTGATAGAGATAATAATCATTAAAAACTTCTTAAATTTTCTAAGAAAATGAACGCGCCCTTCTTGAACTATTCAAGTTGTAAGAAAAAAGTCAGCAGCTTACCACAGAAAGATAGAATAATAAAATTCACTTGCAAGTTGAATATCTCGAGAAAAGCACGTTCATCTGTCTTTGAAAATTTAAGAACCTTTTAATGATTATTCATTCTCTCTATAAGGCAACATTTTAGAATAAAGTTCTTCATTTCAATATTTTAGGATGTCTTGCTCTTACTAAAAACCCAAGAAAACAGCTATAGCTTTTCACCAGTAGATGGTGGGCCCGAATCTTTCAAGTCTTTTCTTAATCTCATAGAGATCTACTTATAGTTAAAAAATCAGGCTGAGCAATGTCAGACAATTGGCGATGCTTCCCTGTTAGTGAACAATAGTTAGACAACAAATTATTATTTAGAAGTTGTTTATCTATACTCCTATTATTCGACTATGATATCGAATTATGGAATTGAAATTTCAATAGAATAAAAAGTTTTGCTTGATATCAACTACATTTTAATTAATGTATTTTTTGCTATGTTATAATTTTTGGAATGTAATTTGGATCATTAAAAATAATATAAACTAAATTTCTGATAAAAATCGTCTTGATTTTTAAATTCTTTTCTTTCCAAAACAAAATACAATTGCTATAAAATATGTAGAAAACTCTCTCTCTCTATCTATATATATATATGTGTATATACCAGTCAATGGTAAAGTACGATTTGTTGGTGATGAATAATTAATATTCATTGGAGTTGAACTACTTGCTGACAATATTTGGGAATTGATTGAAAGTGGACCATTATTATTGTTTAAAGGACTTTGTTGAATGGTCACATGATTTGATCTTTAAAATAAAATACAAATATGTTATAAAATCATAACAACAGAAAAAAAGAACATGAAATTATACGGTTGAATTTGAACAGTAGATGTTGAAGTTGGTGTCGGTATTACAATAAATGATGGCGAAGGTAAAGATTGTTGAGCTGGCAATGATGGCCGAATCGTATTTGTACTGTTATTTAGATTACTGTTCGTAGTACTAAGTGATCGAGGTGGTTGTGACTAAATAAAATAAATAATCAAACCATTATAAATATGATTAGTGTCAAGAGATTTATAAATCAAGATAAAGGCCATCCCCTTCTCCTTCCAGATGAAAAAAAAATCAATTTTTGTCAGCAAAATCGAAATTAAGATAAATGCACGAGAAGATAATTCAAGGTTTGCTCTTTCATAAACGATATGATTTTTTCATTTGTCAATAATTTCTGATGATTTGAAAAATAGGCTTTTCTTCAGAAGAAACCAGAATTGTTTTTACCTTTTCTCCACTTTTGCTTGTTTCATTGCACAATCTAG